ATAAGAACGTCATAGCAAGTTGGGAACTCTAGCAAAACCCTTTTTGAACATTGATGAGTTTACAAGATGTGTTCTTAGTAATGAATAAAAATTCTATATAGATTATAAAGGCAGTTAAAATTAACATTTTCAATTGTAAGTACATAACAGAGAAACTCTATTTTGGCACAAGTACTCAGGACATTTAGGCAAAGAGTGCCCTCCATTTGGTCACAATTTCTGGTTTTTACAGTCCCAAACTTTCTGTGATTAACTTATCCTTACTAAGTTCTTATTAACTTTTTATTCCTTGCAACTTTCAAAGGATGATGCCGTGCAACTTAATAATAAGAAGTAAACAAAACCAACAAAAGGCAACCACTTTTTCTGCCTTCCCAACAACACATGAAAGTGTGAACTCTATTCCCAAGTGCAAGTGTTATGAATTTTTGGAAATACGACTTCTAAGTGCTCTCTGAGGTTCCTACCCAAGAGCCATCGTGAAATCCTTACTCCAATGTCAGTGCTAATGGCAACCTAGAGCCATAATTTCTTTCACCAGCTAATAAAAATCCCCACAGGCAGATATGGTGAGAACAAGGAAGAACAGGAAGAGCTCTCTCCTGCAACCTCTGCCCAAGTGCCCAGACAAGAACAAATCACACAGCAGACACCAATACGCTCAGTGTGGTACAGTTTTCCTAAACTGAGCACTGTCACAGACATTTTTATGGAAAATCCTTTCCTTAGGGTCTTTTCCTCCTGAGAAGCTGAGAGGAACAAAATGCAAACAATGGTTATCTGCTGCTGTGGAATGCAACAGGTGCATCTGTGATTGGGCTCGTGTGGTTGTTTCTAATTAATGGCCAATCACAGTCAGCTGGCTTAGACTCTGTCTGTCACAAGCCTTTGTTATCATTCTTCTTCTTGCTTGCTAGCCTTCTGAGGAAATCCTTTCTTCTATTCTTTTAGTGTAGTTTTAATATTATATATATATATATAAAAAATAAAATAATAAATCAGCCTTCTGAACCATGGAGTCAGATCCTCGTCTCTTCCCTCATCCTGGGAGCCCTGTGAGCACCACCACAGAGCACAGGGGGTCAGCTTTTGCCAGTGGAATGTCTCTAACTTCCAAAGAGATTAACCCCTTCAGCCCTTAGCAAGGCCACTGATGTGTCCAGGTGGATGCTGAGAGCATCCTGGGAGCAGGTTTCAAACTGCACAAACTGAGCACACAGGCAGGAATGCAGCTCCAAATGCACTGGCCAAGAGAGCACACCCCAGGGATCTGCATTTCACCCCAGCTGGCACAAGAACCAACAATCAGAACTGCATAAGCACAGCCCAGGGTGCCCAGGGATCTGCATTTCACAAAAGCCAACAAGCAGAACTGCCT